GTAACTAGGACCCTGTGAAAAGCTGGGGCTTGGGGACAGATCTTTGAGAAACATCAGGAAAACAACACTCCAGTTTTGTTTATGTAAGAGATAAACACTTGTTTCCAAAACTAGGAGTAAATAAAATTTAAAAAGAGAAACATAAACTCAGGCATTATTAGTATTCTGACTATACCCTGGCTCTCTGGCCACCCAGATGCACCCCTGGAGGAGCAACTTAAACAGTAACAAACCACTCTTCTTTGGGTGGCGCCCACCCATGGTTGGGCACCCCCAGCCTTCTGCTGGGCCTTTCCTAGTTATTTAGGGGAGCTCTGCACAACTGTTCCCAGAAGCTCACAATGGCCCTCTCCGCCCCACTGCGAGTCTACTGCTCCAGCTCATTCTATGGACGTTCCTGGTCCTCTAGCCTAGAAGCCACCTGCAGGTTTCTCGTCACCTTTCCCAGGGCAGTTCTGACATCCTAGCTAAGGGTGCCATCTCCTGGGACTCCCAGCATGGGTGCTGCCTCTGGCAGCTTCCTGGAACCACACTGCTCTTGGATGCCTCTGTTAGCACTGATGGGACCTCCTCGAGGCCTCCTGCTCTGGGCACATCTGGGGCCATTGCTGGGGAAGGGTGGAAGGCGACGGAGCTTTGCTCTGTGTCCCGGAGCCTTTGGCGCAACAAAGCTGTCTCCTGCTTCATGTCGAAGTAAGCAGACTATTTCCCTCCTTTTCTGTGTGCGATCCAAAAGTCGGCTGAGGTCCCTCTGGCCCTGGCTACTTAGAGGCTGGGTCCTTCTGCGCATGCCCACGGTGCCCTCTAAGATCCCTATAGAGGACTGGCATTCTCATGGTCATCCCGGGGCTTGGGCTTCTGGTGTCACCCACAGCTCATGGGTCCCTCGCCAGCTCCCACGTGCTATTTTCTGTTCTACATCAACGTGGCCCTGCCACGAACCTCAGCTTATTCTTTGATTTTTGTCAAAAAAAAAACCCCTCCATTCACATAAGTGATCTGTGAGATGTTCTTGACATTACTGAACATTGAGGAGGGGGTGGAAGTTTCTATCCCACTAGCACAAATGCGTCCAGAGACTGGACATTCTCTAGTCCTAAAAATAACCCACTCCCGGGGTGCCCGACTCAGTCGGTTAAGCATCCACCTCTTGATTTCAGCTCAGGCCATGATCTCACAGTTTGGGGGCTCAAGCCCCGCACCGGGCTCTGTGCTGACAGTGCAGGGCCTGTTTGGGATTCTCTCTTCCCCTCTCTCCGCCCCTCTCCTGCCCTCTCTCTCTCTCAAAGATACATAAACATTTAAAAAAAAAAAAAAAGCCCGCTACTGATTGCATACGGGTACACACACTTGGCAAAACCGTTCAGCAGCGTCTGGTCGAGTTGAACACGTGCATACCTTATACCCTGAGCCAGCGATTCCATCCCACAAAAACGCTATAAGTGTTCGCCCAGGTGTGTATGAGAAAGACCACATATGGCCTTAGTCCCAACAACAGCCCCAGATGGAGAACGCCTACATGTCCACCTACACGTGCCCATCCACAGAGGAAGCACGCGTTTGCGCGACGCATTTAGGTCCCAGGTTACCACACGGCGATGAAAAGGAACAAAACACAACTGCAGGTCCCAACGGAGATGAGACCACTGGAACGTTGACTCAGAGAAGTGAGATGTGAGAGGCAGATTTTTGTATATTTCCATTCACCTGAAGTTCAAAAGCAGGCAAAACGAGTGTTTGGCAAAACCAGAGAGCAGGCGGGGAGGCTAACGCTAAGAAAGAGGCAGGACAGGGACTTCTGGCATGCTCAGAACGCCCTTTTTCTTGATG